CAATAATTTTTGCTACTGTCATAAAATTTAAGAAGTTTCGGACTTTTAAATTAAGAAACAATTTTGGAGGAGCTTATCAATACTCGGACGATGGCTTAGAGTTGACAATCTTATGACTAAAATAACGAGTATATTTAACAGAATTATATATTTGAAATGTTTAAAGAGTGTACAAGTTGTTTATGTTTTGATAAACTTTCGATTTCGATAATTTTGTTGACTTTAGTTCAATGCGAGTTCTGATATTATTATGTGAATCTATCCACCGGGAATTGTATATATCTTAAAGTGAGCTTTAGTTGCGAGTAACCTGACTGAAATTTCATACTAGAATATGGTTCAAAAAATCATGACATTTATTTCTATAACATAATCAAGCCTTAAATTCCAGTATTTATCAAAATACAGCTTACCTTCGAGAGAAAAACGGCTATTATTATAAGTGTCCGAATAGCGGACCAGCTGTCCGAAATGTGGTGATGAAAATGAAGTACTTGTTTTCGATATTGCAGAAAAAATAAAGAATTTTAGCGATGTATCTCGTAGAGTAATGTAGCCATGGGAAGTGGTCGTCATCTGTACAAATTTGAACCTGCTAACCATCTTAAATCGCAAAATATAGTGTGAAAACACTTTACTGTCCGAAAATTGGACAACATACTGTATAGCTGAAGTGAACATACATGACAAGTAGCTTTTATCAATCGTGTATAACACTTTCCGTGTCTGGGTCTACAATCTAGCTTTAATTTTCTACAAAGGTTTTGCCAGGTTGTACAATTCTGATGATTAGACTGATGAATTTAAGAAACAAAAAAGAAAAAATATACTTTTTAGCAACGAAATATGTAAACAAACCGAGCGAACAATTTGCTAAATGTTGACAGTAAAATAAATGTACAATCTAATATAAAAACAAATAAAATTTAAACTCTAACGAATATGAAAACTTATTTGGCCTATATATAGAAAAAAATTACTTCAAACTTACCATAATACTGGCTTCTTTTCGCTTTTAAAAAACTCAAAACAAAGTAAACAACTCTGAGCCACAGAATAGGAAGTTATACCAGAAGCGTAACTCTAGTCGTTTCCCTTATTGTTTGACGTCCACGAAAATTTTAACTCGCTCACGTCAGGCCACGCCATCCTGGCTAGTACAGCCGGAAGTTTTTATCAGGATTTGGTAGGTACAAAGTGCCGGTTGTACTAGCCAGGATGGCGTGATTGATGACGAATCGCTTGTAAAAACGTGGACAAATATTTGCTCGAGTTACGCTTCTGGTATAACTTTCTATTCTGTGTCTGAGCTTTCGGGATTTTCTCCGCAAACTACGTCACAAGCCTGCTGACGTCAACCTTTTTATAAAGGTCTATTAAAAAGGCTGAAATGCGGCTTAGAAACCATCGTTCAAAAGTCTGAACCGTGCCTTTAAATCCTTCGCATTTTTTCAGTGCTCTGCACTGAGTAGTTAACGTAACCTAAATCATAAACATTTCTGTAAGCACTCCTTGATTTTTGTGGCAGTAATACGCATTGGTAATATGCCGTATCCGACAGCGACACGCATGGGTTTTCCTTGATTGCCATCCCAACCCGCGCGATCAAATAAGTTACATAATCTTACTGTACCTCTGTCGTGAGTGCTGTAACAGGAGTGCTGTGACCTCGTAAGGTGAAAAGACAAACGCCAGTTTGTGGTCGAAATACCTATAAAGGTGAAGGTATTATTAGATAAGCTGTACAAGGAATGAGGAAAGGATGATATTGTAGCAGCTCCCAATTAATCGACTGTTCGATTGATGATTTTGGGGTTTTAATTGATGATTTTGGGGTTTTTTTCACAATCGATTACACTCAGCAATAACCGGAGTAATCTGGGCCTTTACAGTACCATTTAGAAGTGTCAACATAAACTAAACCTCGTCATTGTCTTGTCAGTTGTCTACTTGTGTGAAAGCTGCGTGCGCGAGAAAGTGTGCAAACTACAATCTTGAGTAAACAATAATTCCAAACGTAAATACCGACTGAATTGTTGGGTGACAACAAGGGAGGCGCATGTCAAATTTAAATCGATTAATCAATACGATTAATCGATATTAATTGATTGTTAATAACGTTTTATCGATTATGAAAATGAACCAATGGGACCAGCTCTACTCACAGTGAAACCTATGCAACTTTGTTACCAGGGTCCTTCCTTCTCCACAAGAGGAAAGAGCCTGGGAACAGAAATTGTAGGTTCTGGTAATCTGCAAATGGTCTTTGGCAACTAAAGATGTGCTTATTACCTTAAGCAGGTTATCATAACTTCCAGAAACAACAAGATCTTTGTAAGTTGCAAGAACGCTGATTGTTTTGCTATGAGCTCGACGAGAATGACAAGGGAATTGATCATGTGACACACTATTAATGATAGTCTTCCACGACGATGGGTTAGAATGAGTCTTCCTGCGCATGCTTGGTAGTACAACATTCTCTGTATCAACGTTATGTGAGAGTCGATCTCCAAGTTCGAGAAATTCAAGGGCACCATTCAGTCGACTTACGACAAGGATTTTGCTAAAAAACATGAAGAAAATGGTTATCAGTTAAGACAAGTAGGTACATTTTGAGGCAGATTTTTAGGGTTCCGTTATCATCCGGTGTATGTAAATCATTAAATATTCAGGATGCGACACTGATCATATCACAAAAGTCACACCAAGGGTTACGTCTTGGTAAAAAGTTCATCCTTCGCAGCATCTTTAATTTAAGAGTCAGAAAGAACCGTCCATTAACTATCTGTGGGTTTGGTTACTTGGTATCGACGAAAAATCGATTTCTTTCACTCATTTCGTTCAATATTCTTCTTAGGTATTAAAAACGGTATTGTTTACGTTCGCTAAATTTAGCATGCAGTTTTTGTGACAAAAAACTGACATTGAACTAAGACTATTTTCGGGTAAGTCGCGTAATTTTGAAAACGAGGGTAACACTTATTAACCGGGACAGAGGGAAACAGTATGTTTTGTGGACCCAAGACCGCCAATGTTTCCCGAAGCGAAGCCTATAAGTACTTTATTATATTATATTTGTATATATATATATATATATATATACCAAGTGTGAAATATGACGAAAAAGAAACGAGAAATCTCCATAATTTTTAATTCATAATAACGGACAGATTGCATTATTCACCAGTGAATAAAGGTATTGCCAGATTCACGTGATACGCTCTCGTCTGATGACATGCAAGAATAGATCTTAGACACTTGGTGTATAATAAAGAACTTTGTTCACCCTGAAAGTTAAATGATAAATATCCAGCTCAAACTAATGGAGGTGGATGTGAACAATACTTCTCAGCAGTGCTACCTAGGTGCCTTTAAGAACGTACCTGTGAGAAATGTAACGGATTGCAGTAACTCCACAAGGATCACTTTCATAAAGAAAACACATTCGTTCTTTGGAGAAGTCCCAAATCTGAATTGTAAATAAAACAAATTGAGAAGAACGAAACTCGTTTGGCACTGATCATCGCTCTATAATAACTGGTTTAGTGACTCTATATTTGGGCCTTCCACTCTTGTTAAATAAAACAGTAAACCAAAACTGAACATGCAAACAAAAACACTTGCACGAAGAGGCACAATGTTAAAATCCTAACCATGACATGGTGAGTAAAGTTGTATTTGGACCATTTTTTACAAATATATCATTCATATTACCTCGAGGTCCCCATTTGAACAACCCATAGCAACAAAATCTTCCCAACAATGCAACGACCAAATCTGTGACGGACGACTGAAATACATACTACATAAATCAGATAAACTGACAGGCTGGTGCACCTAAGGGAATTCCCTATGATCTATTTTAACATCTATTGAAATGTTAACATGTGAAATTCTTTTCCATGATTTCTTCTAGTCGACTTAACCGATAAATGGAATGCATGTAAATGGCCCCACACTGTGGCTTTCTAAAACAGGCCGAGAAATGACATTTGAGTTTCTTATTTCTTACCCAATTATTGTGGGGCTACCGAGTACTGGTATCTCAATGGACCAAGCAAGCAGCCCTTGGATAGTAACAATAAAATCGTTCTTATAGTAAGTAAAAACTCAATTTACCCTTAAAAAAACTTACCTTTCCCTTTCAACAACACTTATACACTCAGTTGTTTTAGAGTCCCAAACTCGAACAGTTCCCTCGAGACAAGAGCTGACGATAACATTAGCGTTGCAGTCGAGACATTCTATATTCTAGATAATAAAATATGTAACAAGTTCTGTGAAGGTTCCGAGAAATATAATTGTTAATTTGTTTTGTGGAACACCGCGTTTATTTATACATGGTAAAGCTCTCGATTCGTACGTCTGGTTCATCGTCAGTTGTATTATTTTCACTGATAACAATCCTGGCTAATGGATCGAAAGCATGGCCAGTTGATAAACATGGTGATTTCTACATAAAAAAACTACGACGTGTCCGTGCTTAAGTGTATCAACCGAATGTGTACAAGACGTACAGAATGATTTAAATAATGCTATAATTTCTTGTAATTCGGTTAGAAATGCCAGGAAGAATGTTTAAGTTTCCACATATAGTTTTGGTTTGCTTTGGAGTTGTGAAAGGCTGTATCCGCAGAGCATTCTGCAGAGGGCGCTGGTGACTGCCTCCTCCGCAGGCTCTCGTTGCGTCATGGGAAGGTCACACACAATCTGGAGAGGGCCTGCGGAATCTTGTAAAAAAGATGGCGCTGGCGTCACGTCAGCACATTAATTTATAGTGATACATAATCTTGAATATAAACAGGATATAAATAAGCGGCGTGAAACTTGTTAATTAAAATGGCCCAACGAATATGAAAAATGAAAATCAGTAAAAGTAATAAATGTTTACGTGTAAAATAATGTAAAATAATTTTAAAATTTCTTTCGCTTTTACCATTTATTCATTTTACAAGATTCCGCAGTCCCTCTCGAAATCGTGACCTTCCCATGACGCAACGAGGGCCTGCGGAGGAGGCAGCACTGGTGACGAGGTTGAAACCAGTGGTTGAAATACAACCTCGTTCCTAGGCTTTTCCCTCTTGTGGTTGAAATAGTGAACCCTATATAAAGACTGGAACGACAACTCCAGATAAAAGGCCCTATGATTGGATGAAGCCAACATGGCGGCCAATAGAGTGATTTCTTCAATGTTGTAGGTATTATATACGCGTGTAGTTCTCGCGTGGGTTTCGCGGGAGCGGATTTTCGGATCGATGTTTTTCAGTTTTTGCACGTAAATGCTCATTTTTAGTAGTAACTAACCTACCTAAAAACTATAAACTAAATGTTCGACCGGCCAAAAATGGGTCGTGTTCGAACAAAAACATGTTTGACTGGACAACGTGACTGGTGCCTGTCTGTCGTTATTTCAAACCCTGATTAACTAACCAATCACATGCAAGTATGAATAGAAATCCGTAAGCTTCAAAATCAGCATAAATGCAATTACCTTTCGGTGACCATCCAGAAATATTGGATACGTGAGAAGCACTATCGACTTCGGATTGGGTTTAAACTTTCTAAAATTAGGCGGCCTGGGTCGAGTGGACAGCAGTTGATAAATAAGATACACAGTGACGATAATAAATATACCAGTTATTAGATATAGAATTTTCACAAATCCAGCAAGCTCCACTGCATAATTGAGCGATGTCCGTCTTAAATCTTTGCTAAAATCCTGATAATACTTTGATATACTCTCATTGTCATGTGATACCGGATCCAGATTATATAAATTATCCACCTTGTATTGGAGATTGATTGGTGGGAGAACACTGATATACCTAAAATATACAGCAAGACTACACGTTGCAATTAAAATTATGATAATAATGGGGCAGAAAGAACATCCATTCGATATGATGCATTTAAACAACTCCAATTATTTTTTCCAGCTGAAGCCCAACCAGCGTGGTCACTTAATATTTCAGTTGATGGGTCTTGTAGATGGAAATCATTCGAGTGTAAATTTATACAAGATTTTCGGATCGACGTTTTTCAGTTTTTGCACACAAATGCTCATTTTTGGTGGCAAATACCTTACCCGAAAAGGTAGGATTGATGCAACTGAAGTTCATATTGTTCTCTGCTCAGTTCAAATCCCTAGTTGGCTGATGTTTCTCGCGGGTTTTTTCTGAACATGTTTTTAACTCGTTAAATAACTTTGCTTTTCACGATGAAGTGTTTCTAAAATTTGTTTATTCTGAAAGACCATTTGCTTTAGTTTCTTAGGGCCATGGTAAAGCCGGACTTAAAAATAGCCGGCTGAAAAATAATGCAGTTTACTGATTTAGTGAATTTCCGCGTAGAGGCCTATAGGGCATACCACGGGCTTCAATTTCCGCCATCTTGGCTTTAAAAACAAACCCGGAGTTATCATTCCAGTTTTCATAGAGTTCACCGGGCTAGACCTGATGAAACCAGACGAATTTAAGCACAGCTAACGAATTTCCGTGTGAGGAAATATAGAACCGGGCAAATTCGCGTGTGAATTCTTTCGGTCTCTAACCCAAGCAATGTCTGTAATATGACAGCAATATCTACAGTATATGGAAATTAACCAGAGTATGTAGGCCTAATTAAACGTCGCTCTTCATTCTCTAAAGCATGCACAGATGACTTCACGTTTTGGCCCCATACTGGACAAGTTCAGATTTTACTTCTACCACTACCACTACCAGTAACCAATCAGATGCTTTTAATCTACCCGATTCACTGGAACTTTTTTTCAAAATCCTTACTATGGAAATAGTATGGATCTTAGTTGAAAATAGTATGGAAATCCAATTTTCACACTAATTGCAATTTCCAAACTATGGATAAAGTATGGAAATAGTATGGATCTTAGTTGAAAATAGTATGGAAATCCAATTTTCACACTATTGCAATTTCCAAACTATGGATAAAGTATGGAAATAGTATGGATCTTAGTTGGAAATAATATGGAAATCCAATTTTCACACTAATTGCAATTTCCAAACTATGGATAAAGTATGGAAATAGTATGGATCTTAGTTGATAATAGTATGGAAATCCAATTTTCACACTAATTGCAATTTCCAAACTATGGATAAAGTATGGAAATAGTATGGATCTTAGTTGATAATAGCATGGAAATCCAATTTTCACACTAATTGCAATTTCCATACTATGGATAAAGTATGGAAATAGTATGGATCTTAGGGACCGGTCATTATTTATGGTGGGGGGTGGCACCGAAGAGAAATGTTTTTCGTGGCAAAAATTTTGCTGACCCAACCATTAAAAAGACAAAAAATTGATTACCCAACCTCAAATATAAATTGAAAAATAATTACCCACCCCTGGCCAAAAACTTTACAAAAGGATACCATTCAGTTGTCACACATGTCTTTTATCACTTCTATGACATGAGTTTGATAACGGCTTGTGAAATTTTCTGCAGTCTAAATAAGTTTCATGTTGTCTGCAAATGTACTTTCTTTGGAAACACCATTTGTTTTGTCAAAATGACCAAGATAGTGACTCTGATTGATTCACGTATTGTATTGACAAATGACTGTTGACATTGCTTTTCAGTCTCCAATATTTCAGTGGGTCATGCTTTGGAAATGACAATAAATTTTTGTTACCCAACCCTTGAGTTGTTTTGTTTTTCATTTACCCAACCTTTTACTTGCTCAAAATTTTGATTACCCAACCTTTTTCTCTTCGGTGCCACCCCCCACCATAAATAATGACCGGTCCCTTAGTTGGAAATAATATGGAAATCCAATTTTCACACTAATTGCAATTTCCAAACTATGGATAAAGTATGGAAATAGTATGGATCTTAGTTGATAATAGCATGGAAATCGAATTTTCACACACTAATTGCAATTTCTAAACTATGGATAAAGTATGGAAATAGTATGAATCTTATAGTTGGAAATAGTATGGAAATCCAATTTTCACACTAATTGCAATTTCCATACTATGGATAAAGTATAGATTTAGTGATGCAATCGCAAATTCCATAGTATGAATTTCACTATTCTTTCCAGTGATTGACCATGCAATCAAATGCGTATTAAGCCAGTGAGAGGTGGAGACAGTGTTACTTAGTGGAAATCAAATCTGAACCTCTCTACTGTATAGTAGAGACCAACTCACTGGGATTAAGACGCCTGCATGCGCAAGAGGCTATATTTCATGAATATGTTTGTTATAGTTCAACGTGCATACCTGTCCATAACATTAACACCATAAATATCCAGTAACTCTGGCCAATGTCGTAGCGAGAGATTCCTCCATAATCCTTCAGTCTTGAACTCATCTTTGCACGGAAAATGTTTTTGTGATTCATTACTCAAGGTGTCTTCTTCTTTGGTGACAACAGATGATAAATAGTTCACTGCCTCGTTTGTCGTACCGGAAGGGTTATTTGGTGGTGAAAACATTTCTTTAGACATCGGAGTGTTTGTTGTCAACACATTTTGGTGAGTATCATTTGCGTTCATATCTTTTGTTGTAGTTGGGGAATCTTGTTCTTTATTTATGAAAGTTATCGATGCAATGTATATAAAATACATGATGGCAAACACCTGAATAAAACAAAGATATCAGACATATTTTCGCGCGATATTGGTTTAATAATACGAATACATGACCCACACAAATTACATTCACAACCCACAGTTTCCATGATTTTACAATAATTTTACAGTAACGCAGGCCCGCCGAGTGGGGGAGGGAGTACTTTGCCCCGGGCTGCCAAGTCCCGGGCTGCCAAGTCTCGGGCTGCCAAGTCCCGGGCTGCCAAGTCCCGGGCTGCCAAGTCCTGGGCTGCCAAGTCCCGGGCTCCCAAGTCCCGGGCTCCCAAGTCCCGGGCTCCCAGTGCCGAATAATAGAGAGGTTAAGATACCCCGGTATCGGTATACGGGTACGAGTAGTGTCATCTTGTTTTACTGATGTCTGTAATTCGATCATACTTTTTCTGTTTTCTTGCAATAGACAATGATATAATGCGAAAAATATGCACCTTAATTACGAGTAAAGGTACAGACATCGACGAAAATATTGCTAACCAAAATCATGCTACCCGTACCCGTACATGTACACCGAAACCGGGGTATCTTAACCTCTCTAATATGTAAAAAAGTTTAATGTATTGTAAAACACCGCTTCTCCCATTCTACAATTATGACGTCATATGGGCCCCTGGGAAAGTTTTGCCCCAGGCCACACGCCTCTCGACGGCCCTGGAAAAAGACAAAAATTTCATGCAGGAAAACTTTGTTTCAACCTTTTTTCAGGTTGACCAGTTGTTCATACTCGTCACGATCGACGATCCACCTCAATCCTTTAGGTAGACATTTCTTTCTTTGTTTGTATGATAACTAATGAAGGCTTTTAGCTCACCATTATTCCTTTTTGCACAATTCTGGTTCTGGCCCAAAAATAAGCAAAGTTAAGTCTTTTTGGAAGATCCTGACGAAAGGAAAATATTTTCCTTGGATTGTAAAAATACGTCAAAACATCACTCCAACTGTTTGATTCTCGAGGCTCGGGCTTCTTTGGAGACTGCCTGTCTCTCGTATCCTGCTCTGGGTTATCTGTGGATGGCAAAGTGGAAATGAACATTAAGATAATTCAGGCACAAAATACTAAAAGCAATTAGGTCCATGCACTTGAAATAATCCAGTTAATTAGTATAGGTAATAGGGTGGTTTCGAGCGCAATTTGGATAAAACATGCACGAGTGAGTTTTTCAAAGATCATCAAAAATAGCAAGAGTCCGAAGGGCGAGTGCTATTCGAGTTCTTTGGAAAACTCACGAGTACTTATTTTATCCAAATCTCACGAGAAACCATCCTATTACGTATTAATAATATACATAAAAATGTTCGAAACAATTGTAGTTTTAACTTACGTTTATAGCAAACCGTCCGCTGACAAAGGTTTCCTGCTTTGTTTAGTCACACATGCACCCACATTATACAACGCTAACGGCTTGACAATGGACCTTTAACCTTATAACTAAAATTTTGATCTAGACAAAAATTTCATCACAGCTTGAAAGACCATCACAAAATTAGTAATATTCCAAGTTTCGTTGCGAAATGTTGTAAAATGCGGATAATATAGCCTTGCAAAGTTTGCAATTTTCAGTCATTTTAGATTACAAACGGGAAATTGATACCCAAATCGGGTGTTTGGGTATCAATTTCCCGTTTGTAATCTAAAATGACTGAAAATTGCAAACTTCGCAAAGCTATATTATCCGCATTTTACAACATTTCGCAACGAAAGTTTGGAATATTACTAATTTTGAGATGCTCTTTCAAGCTGTGATGAAATTTTTGTCTTGACTTGTCTAGATCAAAATGTTAGTTATAAGGTTAAAGGTCCATTGTTTAACTCTTTACCATTTTAAATTACCGCCATGTTTGTTCTGTTTTGAAGCAACCTGTGGTCGTTACTTGAGGACTGCTTATAGTTAATTGATTTTAGATCCCATTGTTTTTCCACCAATCAGATAATTTTGTTACAGATTTTTGCGCTGTTGTTACGTATTTGTGCACTGCTGTTTTGGACTAACTGCACTGAAATCAACCAATCACAGTTGAGTAACATTTTTATGTATATTGTAAGTTATATAAGTTTGAACCAGCTCAAGTATATTGAAGTACCAGACAGGTACAACTTAAAATTTTGAATTATTACACCCTGCACATATTAGTATAAATATGAAGATTTTTCGGCATCTCGCTTGATAGAACCATGGATTGTAAAATAACTGGATAGGAAACTTCCTGACGTCACAGTCTAAACCTAGCTGCAATCTGTGACGTCACGCGTATTGCGAATATATACCAAAGTTCTCGGCATTTTTGTTGTTCCGCTATATTTTCCGCTTTAAAAGAGTAATATTGAAGCATAAACTGGTCTAATTGTTTTAAAAACATGCCTAAGTCACGACAAAGTATTCAAAGTAAATGTTTTTCGTCTTTGTTTTGTATTTCTTTTACATTTGTAGCTACGAAATTGGCGTCGCCACTTTTAACGAAATTTGCGATGCATTTTTCACTGTTTAGTGCTTGAAATATTTGCTAAAATTGACCGGGAATACTTAGAGATTTCATCGTAGAATGGCCTAGTTATATTTATTTGCTCTTTGACTAAAATGTTTAGCTGTATATTATCGCTAAACATGCCATTTTTGAGAATTTGGTTTGCAACTAGGTTTCAACGCCTTCATCCCACTGAAAACATTAGGTCACGTCAGCTAGTTTCCTTGAAAGGGTTTTTTTGTTTGATGGAAATTTCGAGCGGAAATTGTATACAATTGGTTCGAGCACTGCACCGGAATCACAGGGCCACAGGTTCGATTCCTGCCTGTTGTTGCATTTTTCGCAGCTGTTCCTAGTTAAGTCTAAAATATAAAAAAATCCGGTTTCCACTAGGCAGAACTTTGCGCGCGGAGCGGAATTTTTCTTTGTCTTGTGATTTCTCGACTGGAACTAATTATAGAAAAGACAAAGAAAAATTCCGCTCCGCGCGCAAAATTTCGCTTAGTGGAAAAGCGGCTTTAAACATATATTGCCATACATGAGTAAAGTACATAACATAGAAATAATCTCGTACCAGGAATTACCACATGTGGAGATATTAAATACTTCGACGGAGGCTACAATAAAAACAACAAAAAAGTTTATAATTTGAACATATATAAACTAAACATTTTGACATGCATATATTTACTGTAATTATCAGCATATAACCTAACAGGCCCGGTCCATCAGGTAAGGGTGGTTTAAAACTCGAAATATTTAATGTACGGAGAAGCATCGAACAATCTTGCATTTCCTGTAGTATATATATACGAAAGTTTCTACAGAAAAATATAATAAAAAATTCATAATGCATAAAAACAACTATTTTACCTCCAAGCGACGTAGATCAATGGACAGAACGGTTGCAAAGAAAACAATTTGTAGGAAAAAATCAGTCAGAACACCGACTCCTCCAACCATACAGAATTCCTAACACAGGAAAAACATTTCATATAAAGAACGTAATTTATGTACAACAGTATCACGTGATAAAATACGCAAATAATCAGGCATGAGGGGCAAGTCTACCCCCAGCCCCCAGGTTTCATTCAAAGCACTGTTATCGCCAGATGGAACAAAGTGTCCTTTATTATGGAAAAGTTCCGGGCGTTAACCCATTCACTTGTGAAGATGTGTGTTAATATGCGAACACAGTATTATGTAAATGAGCATACAATAATGGTTAAATTTGGGGTTCAAAGTACTCTTGAGCAGCATTACAAGTAGGGATGGGAAACCGGAAACCCATGTTGGCCTGTTCTCCCCAAACATAGTCTCCTACGCAGCCTGTTCGCGGGTCCGAGGTTTTCTCCGCTGCCGTATCTTTGTCTTATCAATCCCAAAGGATTGACTACAAACCAGCAATCTACACCATTGTTTCGTATTCAAGCTAACTGAAGAAGTGTGGCGACTTACAAGAGGATATCAATGCATAAAGATACAGTTGAGGTTTACCTGCACAGCCGGTACAAATGTCAAATATCCACAAAGTAATAAAAGAAGTTCTGTTGTCAAATTCAACGTGATTGAGCGGCCTTCTCTACTTAGACCTACATGGATAGAGTACATATAAATACTGTACATTATTATGTTAAAGTCTGAAGGGTGAGATATATGCAGCGGGGATACAAATGTTAGAATCGCACAAAAAATTCGGCTGAGAATATCTTTTGCTTCATTTTAGCTTAGGCCAAAAAAAAAAATATGTGGGTTTCCGGTTTCTTCTTATAAAAACTTAGGTAGGGTAGGTCGGTTTTAACTTTTTTTTTTAAACTTTTTTTTTAATTTCCCGAATAAGCGTACGCCATTTTGTTTAGTCAGTGCTTCCACATCCAAAGATAAATTTCCCTAATATTGCCTCAAATTTCAATTTTCCACAAACTTTTTCCTCTAAGTGGAAACACTTACAAGTATGATCCAAGAAAAAAGTTTAGGGTCGGGATTTCGACGTCGAAAAGCTAGGTAGGGTCGGGAAACCGGAAACCCACATATCTTTTTTTGGCCTTATGCCACGTTTTACCAATAAACGAAAATTTTTTTATTTATTTTTTATCTAAGGAAATAAGTCATGTTTGTTTCGCCATTCCTTTGCCAAACGAATTCGCACCTAAAATATTTTTCGACACACAGGACGCGAATCGACTGCGCAATTTTAAGGAAATTTTAAAAGATACATGCAGTATGTGGAGCAAATAACTCAAAACGTTATAGCGCTTCTAAATATTTGAAAATCTTAAACCAGGATCAAAGTTATCGGGCAGTGAAAATTGAAAAATCACGCCGCGTTGTAGAATCGCGTCCGGTGTTTCTCGGCCTTGAGCTTCACGTTTCAAGAAAACGGCAGAGCCAGATTTTCCTGGCAGAATTTTTGTTTTCCTTTGTTCCCTCGTATTTTCTTTCTCATGTCGTCACAAGAATCATTTTGAATTTCTCTATGAATAAAACTAGTCCGGTTTATCATTATTGATCTACAACGTAATTTTTTTCTTTGCGCAGGCATTTAGCAAGACAGACAGCAGTCAGAGTAATAACTTCCTGAAGGATCTTTGCTTGAAACGTCGTAGTCCTGCTTAGATATTATCAGGACCGACAGCTCGAGATTACCGAGGTTCAGATTTGACGTGCATTACCGCTAACATATCAAGGGCCAATCAGATGCGTTTGATATATCCGATTATCCAATCAGATGTTTACTAAACCACTGAGAGGTATAGTGGTAGTGGAAGTTGTAATATTGTGTTTGTTTAGACACACGCCATGTTGAGTCTATCCCTCTTTATCTAATTGTCTCCTGCATATATATCTATGTCCATTACGTCATAACTACTTAACGTCAATCATCTACTTATAAATGTCACATCTCCCTTTTCCCAAAGGAGATTGTTCAACTAGTGTTTCTATTAATGTCTTTTTTAAAATGTCAATCATAAACAGTTTTCTAATGTTATTAGTGTGCTATATAATGTCAACTATTAGATTTATTCTCTAAAAAGTTTCAATGTTGCTATTTTAGTATTTTCCTATTTTCCATTTAATTGGCTTGCAATCTTTCTGGTTTACGACTAGCACGACCGCTTCGAGTTGTGTACAATTGTGGTGTTTGTGGTGCTTGTCCAGGTTCTAACCCATTTTGCTGCCTACCCACGGCAATTGGTATTTGGTGTGGAGGTTGGTACTCGGTGATGTTATCATCATCTAGATCACAGTTCTCCAATCTGTTCATGCCAGTAGATTCATATAGATGTTTCCGGTTTCTTCGCAGTACGAACCCATTAGATGTACGGATCATGTACGATCTGGGCTCTTTTCTCTTTTCAATCACTACTGCTGCTTTTAGTCCAGTGTTGGTCTCATACCGAACATTATCACCTGGTTGAAGGACTGAAAGCTCTTTAGTGTGATGGTCAAAGTACTGTTTTTGTTTTTCTTTGTTCTTATGGAGGGTTTCTTTGACTATTTTGGGTTCAATTATCTTTGGTTCTAATAGTGTGGTCGAAGTGGGTAAGGTGGTTTTTGTTCTTCTACCAAATAATCTCTGGGTTGGGGATCCCAATTTTTCATTAACTGGGGTGTTGCGATATGCTAACAGGGCAAGATAGGGGTCAGTGCTTGCTTGCTTTGCTTTCTTTAAGAGGTTCTTGGCTGTTTGTACATATCTTTCGGCTAACCCATTGGATTGTGGAAAATGGGGACTTGATGTAGTATGTTGAAATCCATACTCTTGTGCAAATGTGGCGAATTCATGGCTGGCAAACTGTGGGCCGTTATCTGATATTAATGTATCCAGTATACCATGACGGGCAAATTGGGACTTGCAATGGGTTATCACAGAGGAACTTTTAGTTCCAGTCAGTTGAGCAATTTCAAAAAACCCAGAATAGGAATCAACAAGAATCAGATATGAAGATCCATCCAGCTCAAATAGATCTGTTGCAACTATTTCCCAAGGTCTTGAAGGACTGTCTAGGGGATGAAGGGGTTCTCTCATGTTTCTTACCTGGTGGTCTTGGCAAACTTGGCATTTCTTGACAAGGTCTTCTATCTCGGCATTCATACCAGGCCAAAATAATATGTCCCGCGCTCTCCGTTTGCATTTTTCAATGCCAAGATGAGCATTGTGTATTATCTTGAGAGTTTCTGACCGTAGCACACGTGGAACAATGACTTTATTTCCTTTGAACAATAGTCCTGCTTGTTCGATTATTTGGTCTCGATAGTTCCAGTATGGTTTTGCACCTTCTGGTACTTTGGATTTGTCTGTTGGCCGGCCTTCTTTGATACAGCTATTCAGTTCTTTCAAATCTTGATCAACCTCCGTTGCTGACTGAAGTTGTTGAACTTTCTCTTTTGACATTGGTAGCAAGTCTATAACATTCACTTCGAAATCCCTTGTCAGCTCATTAATGCTGCTGTTGCTTTGCTGGCAGGCCCTAGATAGGGTGTCTGCAATGAGCAGCTCTTTCCCTGGTTTATACTGGACATTTATGGAATATTTTTGTGTTCTCAAAATCATTCTTTGGAGCCTTAGTGGCGCATGATAAAGGGGCTTCTTAAAAATAAACTCTAAAGGTTTATGGTCTGTGTGTACAGTAACTGATTTCTTTCCAAAAATATAGTCATGAAATCGTTCGCAACCGAATGTGATAGCTAACATCTCTTTTTCTATCTGCGCATAGTTTCGTTGTGTTTGTGTTAATGACCGTGATGCATATGCGACTGGGCGCTCGTCCTGTAAAAGGACAGCTCCTAACCCATCAGGGCTAGCATCAACTTGAATAGTTACATGTTTGTTTACATCATAATATTTCAAAACAGGTGCATTTGTTATTGTTTGCTTTAATCTTTCGAAACTGTTTTGTTGCTGCACATCCCAGTGCCATGCCGTGTTCTTTTCAAGTAGCATTCGCAGGGGAGCAGCTAATTGTGAGAAATTTGTGAGAAATTTGGGATAAATTTAGCAAGGTACGTTGCCATCCCAAGAA